CGTCATCAGAGACATAGTCAGAGAGCAATAGCAGAAAGGGAAGCACATGCACAGGATTTTGCAGTATTTATAGGATACAGTAATTACTGCAAACATACGATGACAATTAACCGTAATTGCCTTCTTGAGGGTTGGGGGTCTGTTGAACGGCATGTGGGCTCTGACCTGCTGACCCTTCATCACGCGTGGTGGGCTCGGGCGTGATGATTGCCCGGTCATCTGGCCCTCCGGTACTGGTATAGGACGAGGTGGTTGGTTGTCCGTTCATCAAGCGGCGACTTGCTTAGGCCAAATTTAATCTCAGCACTACAAATGGATTGGGCAAAGTTTAGTTCCAGCGATCGAGTCGTCTTTTTCTCAATTACTTCCTGGGACTCGCATGTCCGCTTGCATTGGCAAAGCATCTCTTCTCAGGTGCAAATTTGAATATTGCATAGACAGCAGAATTTAATGGAATCAGTAAAGTTCGCGACTGCTCTTCAGCTGCGGCCTCTCACTGTATAACATGAATAACGTGAGAAAGAATAAAACGATTGAATTCATTTATACAAATCGATGCAAACAGCAAAGTCATAGAACATGGCCATGGAGGCTAATCCATGACGTAAGTAAGGTTAAACACTGTAGGAAGCAAAGATCGAGAAAAAAGGTTTAAGGTAGAAAGGTGGGCAGGGGACAACCTACCAAGGCAAAGGTAGGTTCACCACGGGCTCCATCTGTTTACATAGGTTGGTATATCCAATTCATGTGGATAGAAAAAGTTTCGCGTGGACATCGAGTGTTTGCAAGGTGGTCACTGCTTAAGCTTGTTTTTCTATGAATAGCACCAGCTCTCTTACTGTCTTTAGCTCTGTCAGTTTGTGTTTGTATGAAATGTTGGACTCAAAAAACAAGTTAAGCTCCATCCATGCTCGAGCATTCACTCCGCCCCCCAGGTCTCTCAGTCATCCCTAAACTTTCCGTCTCGAAGTTTCTCACACATGTGTATGACAAGCAGGATCTAAATGAAATGGTAAAGTTGTCGAAGTTCTATGCTAACTGCATTAGGAAGCCGTTTCAGTAACTACCGTTGGTAAGCATATTGATATACGTCGGTACGAACGCCATTTCGGAGGCTGCTAACATTTCTAAGAAACGTATTTGTAAAAGAAACACGTAGTACGTAGTAATTAAGACTGTTTGTTCCTCATTTTATCACCATTTGTTTGGGAACTCTGGCACTGTGCAATCTAGTAACTTCCAATTGCGGAAAGACGGAGGAGTATCTCTTCCTGACTGGTAACGACTGCTCCTGATTCAGCCATCTCTCCTGTCCAGAATGTTTACCTCGACATTAATGTGTGGCCTGACCTTGAGTCTCCTCGTTTGCCTGACCTTCAATTATTTGGAAACAGCGTCCCCTAGGAAACACCGTTTTATGACGGTGGGCAGACTGCAAACTCCGAACCACGCATAAGGATAAAGGAATGAGTTCGTACAGTTTGATCACAACTAAAGTGGAGCTTGTCACCAGTGCCCTGACGTAACATCTCGGATAAATGTTCTGGATCAGTTGCAGTTTTGGGACAGATCTGGAAACAAATGGCCTCCTCATGATCCGCACCGAACTAGCACGGCTTCTTTGTTTTAGATACAGACCTAATATCGAAGTAGTGAAAGCCAATGTTGGTAGGCAGAGGCAAAACAAAACGGTCTCGCAAAAAATTAATGTTACCAACTTATTTCTTATCTGCAGGTTGGCCGAACACTTTGTTGAGGTCTGGTCTAACCTACTGGACAGCTGGCTTGTAGGCGTGATCAATATGTTCTCGAGGCTCTTCATAAATTTGGAGGATGCCGAGGTGAGATATGGAACTTGCGTTATCTATTTACATAATAATGTTTATATACCTTGGTTGCCGCCTACTTGTACAGCGGCCAATCAAACAAGGTCTTATGACCATTGCGCATTTTGAGTAATTTTGTTTTTTTCCATCTTTAGGATTTATGGAAGTTAATAAAAGAATATTAAGCTTGTGGGAACTTTCTTTTGTCTTTTTTGCATCGCTACGTACCGTTTATCTAGATAATTTCGCCATGCACGTTTTTACAAGGCCGAAATAAATGTCACCAAGTAAATCGTCAGCGCGCTCAGTGATGGCCCGGAAGAAGGTTTTCCCGGAGGAAATTCAATAAATAATATCTCGGATTTTTAAGGCATTCATCAAATTTCAAGCAGTAGATTTGCACCAAGGGTGATGAGAATGAAGCCTATCATATATACACCGGTTACAATCACCTTGCGTGATATTACTGCTCACTCTAACGAGTCAGACCATGGAGATACAGAGCAAATTATTCCGTTGAAACAAGCTTAAAGTCTTAGAAAGTAAAGCTTTCCACTATCAAGAGTCGATATTTAAGAACTTCACTCGCCGCCAAAACATTTGATTCCTGGCCCCAATAAATTGCGATTACTTAAAAGGATTAGTGATATTTGTATGCAATCTCTTAAAGTTACATAACCGTGTGGGATACAATTAACATTAATTGAGAAAACATAAACTTTTCTTTTCTACCTTTTCAGCACATTCACGTAGAAAGTCAGGCTGTCCTAAACCAGTTATTTGAAGAGCTCGATAGAGCCTTTCCTGGACACATGACCGGTCAAATCAACCAGAAATTTACCGAAATCTTAACCAATCTCCGTCAACGAATAAGTACAGAACGAGAAGGTAAGATGCCTCACGTGACATCGATTCTATTTTGTTAAAGCAGTCGGGAAGGAAATAAATGCAGACAATACTGTAGAGTCTTTATTTTCAATTCTAGATTCAACGTTCTCAGGTGAAGTACAAATAACCACTACTGAAATAGCAACATACCGGAAAGTTCTCCGACAGTTCGGGGTAAGTAATATTCTATTCGCCTCACCTCCATATAAATGTTTTAAGTGCAGTGCTACTCTTACGAATTTCAGTGTTGTTTTGATAGTATACTTTGACTTCCTAATCAATAGCATCTGGATATTATGAGAGACAGAGATCAATTGTGCAGTAC